GGCAGAACCACAGCACACACACACACACGTACACACACGACTATGTGGATGAATCTTACAAACTTGATCTCAAGAACAAGAAGGGTACAAAAGAGTACGTACTGAGTGACTCCATCTTATAAATTGCCCGAACAGGCAAAACTTATCACCGATGATAGAAGTCAGAACGGTGGTTACCCTTGGTGGGAACGTGGGGGGTATGAGGGAGGTTTTGGGGGGCTGAGAATGTTCTGTACCTTGATCTGTCTGGTTCACTGTAAAAATCCATCAAGCTGTACGCTTTGTGCCTGTTTCTATCAATAAGAACATTTTCTGTGTGTGTAACGCTTTAATGAAAGAAAAAGATTGGGTGAAACAAATATGGCAAAATGATGATGACGGATTTATGGGGGTTCTTATACTGTTTTCTCAACTTTTATGATGTTTGACATTTTTTATAATAAAAGAACACAATGTAACAACCATATGGCACTGTTGCCAGTCAGAATTGGCGCTGTGCCAGCTGGAAGACCAGGCGCACTGGGTAGGTGCTATCACGATCTCTATATCACAGATGCAGAAAGTGGGGCTCAGAGAGGTTAAGTAACTTGCTCAAGATCACACTGCTGATGGGTGATGTCCAGGACAGGCAGTCTGGCCCCAGGGCTGCCGGCTTAACTACTCCATGATGCTTCTCCCTTTGTGGCCTACTCAGCAGAAGGTGGTCAGCAGGACTGGGTCCTGGGGACCGCTATCTGGACTGAGGGCTGTGGACGCTGATGTTCCCCTCTGAGTGGAGGCCTCCCTCCCACCCTCACTGATCAGTCAGACTCAACGAGAGCCTGAGTGTAGTGTCCTGGGCATAAGATTTGGCAGAAAGGACACACTCAATAGATGTTAGCTGTGGGGCACAGCCCCAGATCTGCTCCTCTTTTCCTCCCTCCAGCTGAGCTGCCCACTTCTCCAGGGTTCCTCCTCAGCGCAGGCGGGTGGGTCGTTAGGCTGGGAGAGGGAACATAGGGGAGGTGTATAGTGGCAGCGGCCACAGGCTCCTGATGGTCATGATTGTTGTGAAAATTTTGGGCTGATCAGAAATAGAGATGACATGAGGCCGCAGCTGGCCTCTCTGATCGTTCTCTCTGAACTCAAACAGCCGGGGCATTGTGCAGAAAATTGCCTTGTTCCACGCTACAGCAATTAGCCAGCCTTCCTCCCAGCCTGGCTCTTGGCAGCAGACACGCCTTCATCCATTTGTCCATTCATCCTGTCATCCATCCATCCATCCATCCATCCACCCATCCATCCTGTCATCCATCCATCCATCCATCCATCCATCCATCCATCCTGTCATCCATCCATCCATCCATCCATCCACCCATCCATCCTGTCATCCATCCGTCCATCTATCCATCCATCCATCCATCCATCCGTCCTGCTTTGAGCCTTCCAGCTGCAACTTTCTAAGGTTCTGGCAGGAAGAATACCCACGCCTTTTGTAGGGTCAAGTTTAGGAGCTAACCTCCTGAGAGGCAGCCTGGCCTGTGCCCCTGCCCTCCGTTGTCTCACCCCCACCCTTTCCTGTGGCCGGGGATGACTTTGGGGATGCAGGGTCCACTGGAAATGCTCCTGCTGTGTGTCCAGCAGGTGGCAGTGAAGGCTCTCTCTTCACCTGGGTGACACTGCCGGCTCTCTCCTCGCTGGCCAGACTGAGAATACAGAGCAGCGGCTCAGCCTGAGGCCAGCAGGCGAGGCAAGGGAACTCTTGCAGGAGATCCTGGTCCCTGTGTTGGCACTCCTAGACTGTGAAGGAGCGCCTGTCCCCCTCCTGTCTGGGATCAGCTGCATAGTGATCAGAGCCAACCTTACTCTGTCTTCCCTGAGAGTCGTGCCTGGTGCACTGAAAAGGGCATAGACCTTACAGTGACACAGACCTCAGTTCAAATCCCAGCTCTGCCTATTGAGGGCTATGTGACCTTGGGCAAGTTGCTTCATCTCTCTGAGCCTGTTGGCTCACCAGTAAAATGGGGTAATGATGCCTAATGCCCAGGTTAGCGTCAGGGTTCAATGAGTCAGCATGTAAAAGCACCAAGTCGTAATAGGTGGCCCGCGAGTGTTGGTTCCCTCCCCCTCCCCAGGCCTGGTGTGGGCGGCCTGTCAGCAGCCAGAGCCCAGCGTGGGCCTGTATTTCTGACGCCCTCTGTACCATTCCCTGAGTAAGAACAGAATTGGGCTCCTGGTAAGACAGAACTGAGGGGACGGGGCAAGGAAAGACCCAGAAACTCCTTCCTCCAGCCCAGTAACAGCCACACTGGTGTCCGCCCCGCGGGGCACTCGGGGACATTGCCCGATTTTCCAGTGTCTCCTGCATCTTTCACAACAGGGCTGCAGGGAAAGTTCCACTTGACTTCAGAAATAATTGGTTTTCTAGAAAAAGGCTGGCAAGGCAGACATCATAATATTCATAAGTTAAAACATATAAAAGATCTGAGATTTTAAACAAACAACAAAACCCAGTCCTGGTGGTGGGAGGGGGCTTCAGTTTAGTTCCGTTGGAAAGGCCGGGTCTAGACGGCCCAACCGGCAAACAGGTGGGTGGTTGGGGCATCAGTTTCTGAGCAGGGCTGGCAGAACATCCCGGGCTGGCCGGAGCCTCCAGCGGGGAAAGCGACTGGACCCGAGACAGGACCCGCACCCCAGAAGCAGCCATTAAGCCAGGGGAGGGGTGGGCAGCAGGCCCCAGAGTTAAGTCAGGGGAGGCACTAAGCAGGTGCTTCCAAGGTGTGTGTGTGTCCTGGGCGTTCAGAGGCTGGAGCCTCCTGCATTGGTGGGTTGAACTGGTGGCGGAGGGGTGTCTTTGGTCCTAAGTGGCTTCCCTTGGGTCTCCTTTAGGGCACGAGGAATGCTGGATAGTCTCAAAGGGAGGGTCCTCGGCAGCCCAGTTCGCTCCTGTCCTGGAGGCATCTCGGCTGCCCTTCCCCCGCCGGGGATCTCCGATCTCAGGGCTGTGGACTCCCGAGGGGCAGGCAAGCCCCAGTGATGCGAGGACCTTCTGGAGGGTGAGGAGCCCGACAGGTGAGACACAGGAAGCCCTCGGCTGGGGAGGGGGCCTTGGAGGTAGGGCAGGTCTCAGCCTGGGGCTCCTGAGATTGACACTGGAATCTGTCCATCAGCGACGCCCTGGCCATCACCTGACCTTTCTTTTTGGCATTCCACCAGCCAGGCCTGCGGAGGGTGGGGGCTGTCTCGGGAGCTGCAAAAATCTTCACGTCACATGCCCCATCAGCACCTCAGCAACCTTATCTCCACCCTTAGCTTTTCTCAGGGTGCTGAGAGCAGGGAGCTGGGAGTTCGGGTACCAGGGTGGGGTTGGCTCTCCCGGTGCAAAACTGCAGACAGTGGCTCCCATTCCTGCAGGCAGCCCCACCCCTTCCCTCACCACACAGCCTCGCCGTGGCTGAGCGGAAGGAGCACCCCTTCGGAATCAGAGGGACCTGAGTTGAAGTCCCTTCTCTGCCTCTGCTGTGTGACACTTGCAAAGTACTCCACGCATCTGGGCCTCAGTTTTCCTAATCTGTAGGATGAACACAGCAGACCTGCCTAGTCTGCTCACAGGGTCAGGGTGACAATTCTACAAGACAACGTGCTTTGTAAAAAAGAAAAGCATCATCTCACAGCAGATGCTGTCCCCTAGCCCTCTCCACAGCTGGGTACCTCCTGCAGACGCGTTTTGCTAAAAATTTTTAACAGTAAAAGAAATATTTTAAAAATTTTGACCAAGAATAAAAAATCAGACTTCTGCAGAAGATTTCGAATTGACTTGTGCATCTGACAATACCGGTACGTTGCCCCCAGACGGCACTCAGACCCGCTGAGCTGCTCCCTTCAGACAAGGTCCCCAGGTCCCCACAGCCCTCCGCATGCCCTGCGACGTCCCCATACCTGGGCCCAAGGTCAGATGCTGTTTGTCACCTGGTTGCTTCGCCCCTTGCACTACTTACCTGGCGCCTCTGAGGGGTTGAGTTTGCAGCCCCTGTGTCACCCACATGGGAAGTGCAGTGTTAGCTTCAGTCCCTCTGGTCATTTCAAGGCTTGGCACCCCTTCCGGCCGTGGAAAAGTCCCCCTCTTCTTCCGCTGCTCCCTCTAGCCTGGCGCCTGTGCCCACCCTCCTGCCACCAAGCACCGACTCTGGCGGTGGCAGCGACCAGGAAGGTGGCCGGTCTCCGGCTCCTTTCAGAAGAGTGGCTCTTTATCCACTCCGATGATAAATTGCATTTTCCTGTCCTGACAGCCAAAGGCTCGGATGAACCTAGACAGTTTGGGGCCTTGGAGGAGCTGCCCGAGACCCCGATGCTCTTCCCGGGCCGTCTGACTGAGTGCACTGCCGGGTCCCATCCACCCTGTCTGTACCTTCCCTCCCCCAACCCTGGCACCGACGAGCGTGGGCAGCGTGATCCGACTCCCGGGTTGTAGGCCAGGAGACCATCACAGGAGCCAGGCCCCAGGGCCCCAGGAGGGAGCTCCCGCCACGCACAATCCCTCTGGGGAGCCCCTGGATGTGGGGTTTGGGCTCTGATTACAGCAGGAGGAGGCCCGGGAGGGCCCGCTCTACCTTTTCCCCTTTGTGACATGTCCATCTCCCAGCAGGACTATGAGTCCCGATGGGCAGTGTCCCTGGGTGCCTCCTGAATCTGCTTCCCAGCCACCAATCACTGGGCCTGCTGGTGGCCTCTTTAGAAAGGTTTTCTGCCGCTGAGCACAGGGCCGGTGAGGGAAAGGGCTGCTGGCCAAGCCTTTCCAGGCCGGGATGTACATGCCCGGCTGTTTCCTGGGATCACCTTCTTTGTCTGGGTGTAGGACAACACACGACTGTCTCAGACACATCACTTCTCACGGGAGCCACACCCTCCTTCCAGGAATGCCACCTACATCCTAGGACTTTGGAGCTGGGTGTCTTCATCCAACACTAGGGTTCTGTGTAACCTCAGGCAAGTGGGACAACCCCTCTGGCCTGCGTACTTACGAGGTCTAGAAGAATCTGAAATGGAGTACTCCAAAGAAGGGACTGGACAGAGGCCGTGGAGAGAGGGCTGCATGAGGATCGTGGGCAACCCCATGCGGACAGCGAAGCAGAGGCTGCGGGTCAAATTTCCTGAGTTCACATCCCAGTTCCACCCCTTGGTGACTCCACAACCTGGGGGAACAATAAAGTTCTCATCTCAGAGGATGCCTGCGAGGAGTAAATGAAGTTGTGCGCGAGAAGCTCCTGGCACCATGGTCAATGCTCAGAGAAGCTTAGCAATTGTTATTATCAATACCACAATGAGACAGAACCTGCAAAATGGAACACAGCGGCTGCCCTGGGGCACGGTGTCAGCCGACCCAGGATTCCTATAGTAGAGGCTGGGCTTAGGCGGGCCGGATGTCCAGTGGGGTGGGGACCTGGATGAGAGTCACAGGCGTATGTGCCGCCCTGAGCTGGCAGACGACATGGGGGAGGCAGGATGAGCTCCGGCGGCTGCTGTTGCTATGGGACCCCGGCCTGGTGGGCCATGCGCTGCCCTCTCCCGAGCTGAGTCCTCTGGGTCTGGTCACACGGAACACGCGGCAGGGACACGGGTCCCTCCACCGAAACCCATACAAGGATGTGGGCCTGTGCTCACCAGTTCGGATCATGGGGACGCAGGGGGTTCACCTTCTCCAAGGAAGGGGCAGGGACAAGAGGGAAAACAGGGAGCTATTTTGAGAAGGTGTCGAAGGCCGGGACACTAAAATTAGACCTTTCGTTCCTAAAAAGACATTGGCGCCAACCAAGGCCTGGAGAGGGGCTCTTCAGCGTGGAATGTGGCCCCAGGACGGGCTCCCGCGGGCCTGGGCAGTGAGGTCAGCCTGCAGGACCAATGGGACTGCCCAGTGGCTGGTGGTCATGGGCCCCTCTCCCCACCGGCCCCGCCCATGAAATTCTGGAGCTGGTTCCAGCCCTTCCTGCCTGCGCCAGGCAAGCGGGAAGGCGAGGGCCGGAGCTGCCCATTCCCGGTGCCGCCTGACCTTCCCGCTGCATTTGGCCTTTTTTGACTGTCCCTTTGTCTCCTGTGCTTTCTGCCTCATTCCGGGGTGTGCGCCCAAAAGGAGGGGGATGCTCAGAAGCAGTGGCCATCTTGGATCCTGGAGCTCCCGGGGCCGGGCTGCGAGTGTGAGCCAGTGAGGGGCCAGCTGTCCCAGCCCAGAAGTCCCCCCAAGGTCCAGCCTGACTGCCTCTCTGCCCATGCTCCAGCCACACACTGTTCTCCAACATGCCAATTTCTTTGGCCAAGGCCTGCCCACCTGCTGCCCTCTCCTCCTTGCTCAGCTGAGCCCCACTCACTCAGCGTCAACGTCACTTCCTCAGAATGGCCTGCCCAGGCCAACCTCAGGCCAATTCTCCTTCTCCCTGTGTCCGTAGGACCCTTTGCTACCACTCGTCACCTGTATGTGTGGTCCCCATTAGGATGGGAGCTTTGTGTACACTGCCGCTGGCCACTCGCCATTCTACCTCCAGGGTTTGGCACATAGTAGGTACTCGAAAACACGTGTTGAGTGACCTGAGGTGTAACCCAACAGGGCACTGCCCTGGTCATGCTTGGGCAATGGGGTCTAGAAATCCTGGCTGGTGGCTGTGCCCCTCTGTAAACGGGCTGCCTGGGCAAACAAGGATTAGACCACTACAGGAGGCAGGACGGGGACGTGGAGGGCGCAGCTAGAAAGGGCCTGGGGCCCTTGTCCACAGTGCTGACCCACAAGGGGACTCGTCGCTTACTGGCCAGCCCTAGTGGGCTCCCATTCCTGTGCTTTCTCTGTAGCCGGGATTCCTGGAGACTTTGAAAGACTAGGAGGCTGCCGGAATTCTCGAAACAAGTAGAGGGAAGCCCTGAGGGAAATGATGTGTGTGTCTTCCCCAAAGCCTGGTGAGCTTGGTTCCCTCCGAACCCCAGACTGTCTCCCTGGGAGTCGCTGGGATGTGAGGACTGATGGCTCAGAGCCTGTGGGGGCTCAGAGCCAGGCCCAAGGCGTCTCCTATCCCCAGGCCTCCTGTCGCACACTTAGGAGACACGAGAAACACTCAGAAAATGTGGTTCAGTTGTTGAGCTATATTCAACTTGGCTTTAGCTGGGTCGCTCCCAGCTCTTTCTAAGATACGTGTGTCTCGGGAGTCCTGGCTTATGTCCGCTGCCTGGTTTTTACCATCACCCTCATTTCATGCTCAGACTTTATGTTACATGATTACGCTATTTGGTCTATATGTGTTCATATAGAATTGTCACCAAGGTAATTTGATTTAGTACTTGAATAGCTTGGTAATTCAAGTGAAAAAGGAGAGAGACGCAAAATACTGGACGCATTATCAGGCACAGACATGGATGCACTTGTGTGTGGATGAGGTGTCCGTGGAAGGAGATGTCAGAAGTGGATGGGTGCATGTTGGGAGGGGAGCAGCCTGAGGGATGTGGTCCGCATGGGCACGCCCTTTCCAGAAGTTCAATTTCCTTTTCATTACCGTGAGCATGTGTTACTCTTTCTCAAAAAATAAAATTAAAGAAAACCAAAGGCTGGTCACCTGCCACCCCCTCCCCCTAGCCTGCACGTGCACGTTTTTATGATGTGGCTCAAGGCTTTCTCTTCTGTTACTTTTTGATCACTGATTTCTGGGTTTTGGGAGAAAACTTTGTGAGATCTGGCCTTTGTAATGAATAACATAGCAAAGCAAAATACAACAAAAAAAATGCATTGGTTTTTCCCTCCTTCTTCACGACAAATTCCTTGAGGGCAGGGACATTTTGGGGTCCCCTCTGCCCAGCAGAGTGTCAGGCTCGTGGTTGGTGTTACTGACGCTTGCTGAGCCCCAGGGAGTTGGGGAAGACCCAGCCTGTCTCTCAGAAGCAGGAGGGCCCGGAGGAGCTCTTAGGGGCGCCCGTCCTGGGCCGCTCTCCCTTCCCTGAGAGGTTCTCCAGCTCTCCTACCGGGAACAGATGCTGGTGTGTTGGTGGAAGTGGCCCCAGGCTTGGCTGGCGGTGCCTGCAGGGATTGGGATGGGAGGACCTCAGTGCCTCGTGCGGGACCTCGGTTATTCTGCACTGGGCAAAGACGTCCTGTGTGATGGCAGCTCAGGCTCTCATCACGCTTGCACACGCGCACACTCCCCTTGGGCCGGCACGGGGTTGAAGAATTCCCGGAACGTGGCGGAGCTGCTGACAGCACTTCATGCTCGGCGTGTGATCACCCATGTGACTTCCTCCGGGAACCGTGTGAATAAAGCGTGGGGGGCGGGCCCCGGCACCCCTCTCCTGAATCTCCCAGGTCTTCTTAGCTCCAGGTCTGAGAAACATGGCAGGGCTGGAAAACAGCACAGGGGGCCCCCAGAGATGAAAGTCAACGATCGTCGTTAGCCGCCCCCCATCAATCTTCCTGGGACCAGAAGATGGAGTCATAATAAGAGTAATAATCATAACAGCTAGTTATTGAGGGGATAGAGTGTGCCAAGAATTGTGCTGAGCAGTTTATAGGCATCATGTCACTTAACTTCCTGAGAACCTGTGAGGTAGACACTCGTGTTCCACCCATTTTACAGCCCGGGGAACCCGAGGCTGGAAGATCCTGAGTGATTCGCCTAAAGTCACACAACTGGTGGGTGGTAGAAACGGGCTTTGAACCCAAGTCTGTCATTCGGACCTCCAGGGTCCAGGTTCTACTCCTAATGACTCACTAACTATCTGTGTGGCTCAGCCAAATTATTCGTTACGGTAAAAGCACCGCACTGCACAGCCTGGGATGGTGCTTGCCTATACGGATTAAGTGTGTTATTTAGCAGCATTATTTTAGGTCTTATGAGCAGCAACAAATGAAGCTTCTGGAAGCTGAGTCCTTACTTGAAGCGACCTGTTGAGTGTTAGGATTCCTGCCCCAGAAGGAATGACAGAAGTGTGGGCAGAGGCTGCCTGGAGCGGGAAGGGCTGAGCTCCACCTGGAGCCCACCCCAGGGGCTGGGCGGCTGTGTGAGCTTGCTGGGCTCTTACAGGACCACAGACTGGGGGGCTCGAACAGCAGGACTCCCCGTCTCCCAGTCTGGAGACGGGAAGTCCAAGATCAAGGTGTCAGCAGGGTCGGTTTCTTCTGAGGATGTGAGGGAGCACCTGCTGCGTCTCCCCCAGCTGCTGGCTGTCTACTGGCTGTCTTTGGGGCTCCTTGGTTTGTACAAGCATCACCCTCACTACTGGCTTTATGTTCATATGTGTGCATGTCTCTGTGTCCCAATTTCCCATTTTTATAAGGATGACAATCATCTTGGATTAGGACCCACCCTAATGACCTCATTTAAATTTGATTAGCTCTGTGAAGACCCTATTTCCAAATAAGGTAATTCTGAGGTCCTGGGGTCTGGGGCTTCCACACGACCATAATGGTGACCTTGGGTAAGTCAGTTAACAGCGCTGAGCCCCAGTTTTCTTGGCTGTAAAATGGGCTTGGTGACAATCCCCTCCTCCCCGAGGTGTGTATGCAAACACCGAGAGGAACAACAACACTTGGCATGGTGCCTGGCTCATGGTTGGCACGGGGAAGACAGTAGCTCTTATTTCCGTGTCATTCCTGGGATGACCTTGGCCAAGGGGCTGCAGCATCAAGAAGTACCTGCATTTGATCCCTGAGGGAAGGGAAGGGCCTGGCTGGGCCCCTGGGGAGCTGGCCTGGGGAGATGCTGGCATGGTCTGGCCTTTCCCGAGCCATGTGGAGCTGAGGGTGGCCTCTGGTCCACGCCCAGGCCCCCAGGAGTGCTTAGACTTGGCTTTTCATCTGCGGGTGGTGCGTTTGGAGGCCTCACCTTCAGGCTTGCTCCTGTGTTGTCCAGCTCGAGGTTTCTCAGCCTCAGCCCTGTTGCCATTTGGGGCCAGATGCTTCTTTGTTGGGGGGCTGCCCTGTGCAGTGTAGGATATTTGGCGGTTCCTGGCCTCCCCCTGCTCCCTAGTTGTGACAACCAGTAATGTGTTGGGCGTTGCCAAATGTCTCCCAGGGGTCAAGATCACACCCCTGGTCTAGCTGGCTGCTGTAGGAAGGGCTAGGATGCTGCCTCCATGGATGAATCTGGAAATAGGGGCCTGAACAGCAGTCTCTGTCACGGTGGACCTACCCCAAGTCCTGAATGAACTGCCCTCCCCAATCCTGAGGCTGCAGGCCTGGCTCCCTGGGGTCATCTCAAGGTGACTGTGGCCTGGCCTAGGCACGGTGGCCAGGGCTTGGCTGAAAACAGGCAGCCGGAAGCCCAGAGCAGGGGTGGGCTCGGGGAGGCCAGGCCAGGAGCAGGTGTGGACACGGTGCTGACAGGCCCAACTTATCAGGACCAGAGGCCCAGGCTCCAGACGAGCAGGTCGTGGGGCTTTATCAGCCGTGAGAGTGACAGAGTTTGCAACCATCCCGCTGGCCTGGGTGCTGACAGCAGAGCCGGGCCCAGGGCCTGCGGGTGCCCACCGCCGGCGGAGGCGTGTTGCTGGGAAGAGGAGAGGCTGGCGGGGAGAGGAGAGAGAGACGGAGATGAGCGTGGGCTTGCTTTTTTCCCGCTCTTCT